CTTCTGTGCACCTATTTCTTCATTTAACCAAAAATTCCCTACTAAGATTACTATATATGTCTGCTACAAGTATGAGTGTTGGCTCTTCTGGCAGTCACCCCTTTGCTTCCGTTTTTTTTTTCTTCTTAAATCTAAAGGAGAACTATGAGGTGAGTTATTTTTTTTCTTTACTCATCCTCATAGTTAGAACCGACGTGTGACAATGAAGCTGTTGCACATCGGCTCTATAGATCGGGAAGTAAGCAAACACATGCTCACTCACTTTCCAATCATCTCCTTGCGGAGAGCCATGACTATCGGTCACCGCTCCCCGCATGGATTCCTCCCCTTTCCTATGCTCCAGCGCTGACTGGGCAGTGGATGGGCACAGCTGGCTCTGCCTCTAGATGGGCACAGCCCGCTGTCAATCATCCAGCTGGGTGGATCTCAACAGTATTGTCTGGATCTGTCCCAGCTGCGGCAATCTTAGTATATGGCTGGCGATATACTGAGCTTTGGGTCATGGGAGGCAGTTGGTATATATCCTCCCATGACCCTGAAGAGAACTATGGGATAAAAAGTTTACCCCATAGTTCTCTTAAGTTTATGGTTGCTTTAAGAGCAGTGGTGCCTTGTAGCTGCTGTCATACCTAGGGTGTTGCCAGTTGGTTGTATTTTGGGGGTTTTATTTCATTTTTAGGAGAGTGTACCTCCTTTGTTTGCAGCATGCTGCTGCATCATTGAAAAAAGTGCAGAAACAGTGTGCCATTAAATTATCCCACATTATATCACTTACCTTCACCACATCAGTTAAACCTTATTTAATACTGTCCTGCTGCTGGCCGATTTTACACGGCTCTAACATCTGTGGGTTCTTACTCTTAAAGGAGAATTATGTTGAGAGTGAAATGGACGAATCCCCATAGTTAAAGCCGACATGTGAAACTGCAGCTGTCACACTTCGAATCTATAGATTGAGAACTGAGTGATCACATACTGCCAATCGATCCTTTCCGTGATCTTCTCCCTGCAGGGAAACGGTTACTGTCAGTCATCACTCCCCGCAGGGATTCCCCCCTCCGCTTTCCATTCCTCCAGCGTTCATTGGAGGGAGAGGGCACAGCTAGCTCTGACTCTAGAGAAGTCGAGCCAGCTGTCAATCGGGTAGCAAGGTAGATCCTTTCAATATTGTCAGGTTCTGTTCTGGCCATAGGCCACTATATGCTGAGGTTTGGGTCACGGGTACCAAAAGGTTTGGCCATGGTCCCCTTTAAATTCTTAAATAAAAACACCTACCCGTGCCTTGTGTTTCTACATTACACCTTAGTCTTGCTCATTAAAACTGTCCTTCCACTGGCGAATGTTTACACTGCTTTATCATCTGTGGTCTCTCAATTGTTAATGAGAGTTTCCTAGAAATTGGTCATTGGCAGAACAGTCTTGCATCAGCGAGAACTGCGAGAGGTTTAGTGACCCACTAGTCAATTCTATTTACCGATTAAAAGTAGGCCTAATACTTAATGAAAGCTTGTGCCCCTTTTTAATTTTTTTTAATTGTATTTAATTTTTTGTGTTTTTCCTGAAATAAATCATATTAACCCTTTTGCTGTCAATGCAGTTTTTGCGCTTTTTATTTTTATTATAATCAAGATTTTAAGCCTACAAATTACTTAAAACCTTGAGAGTTATGCATTTCCTGAAAGCACAGACCCTGTATAATGGCGGCAGTGGAAAATGTTTTCCATGCATGATAATAGTAAAACTCATAAACGCCAACATTTCTGCAAAAATTACATTTAGTGCACAAAAACACAATATAATACCCATTTGTATTTATTTTTTATGCTGAGTAAATAAAACACCTAACATGTATAGCATAAAAAGTGTGCGGGCCCATGAGACAGTAACAAAATACAGTACCCCAAATTGTCTACAGACATTTCTTTAAAAGCCCGTGCAGTTCATCAGTTTAGCATTAACCAT